CTGAGACATTCACAGACAGAAAAAGCAGCCTCACTTTATCAAAAAGGTCGTAGAGACAGAAATATGTGTTTTTGTCACATAGTTTTTCAATTTCTAGCATTATTCCTTAAGACATTTTCTTATTCTTTAGCTTAAATAAATGCCTGTCCATATGGAAGCGACAGAGCAACACAGGCAGTGGTAACAGCTCTTTATCTCTGGCTCTGACCACTCATTCAGTATATATAAAATTGGAAATGTTTCTTAAAATCTCCTGGCCTCTGCACTTCATCTCTAAAGTGGGGACAACACCTTTAATGACAATTAAACGAGGTGATGTATCTGACAGTCTGACCCACAGAAAGCATTTAATAAATGATGAGAGGAGGGAGTATGTGCAGGGGGTGAAGAAAATGCTAACATATTCTCATATTAAAACTACACAATATTTGCTGATGTGAATATTTACTATAACCATTAAGCAAATGATCTCACTGGAAGTGAGTGGTAAGGAGTCCTAGTGGGTCATGCTGCTGCCTTTCACGCTGAAACCACCAGCTGCTACGCAGCACAAAGACCAGGCTTTCTATCCTGTCAAGAGTTCCAGTCTCGAAAACCCACAGGGCCGTTCGACCCTGTCCTATCAGGCCACTCACTATGAGTTGACTTAAATCAAAGTCCCAGGAATCAACTTAAGTGAGTGAGCGGTGAGAACATGGACTTCAAACTCAATCCTACTTATTACACAAGCCATTCATTAGTTGTATAAAGGCAAGTTATTTATCGTCTCTGATCTTGCTTCTTCACACAAAAAAGGTACTATTATCTACCTTACAGCAGTGGATTTTCAGACTATGTTCCTGATCCTTAAAATTCCAAAGGAAAAAAGGGGGGAAAAGTCTGGAAAAACAAATTTCATGTCAAAGGACCTTCAACTTTATCTTTTTTTCACCAGACTCACAAGTAAAAGTTCTTAGAAATGTCTTCTGTGTTCAATTCACAGGGGTACTGTCAGGATTAAATAAATGGCATGTGTAAAAAACAATGTGCCAGGACTTGTATAAATTGCAAGCATCATTAATACATATTAAGTGGTATAATGGTGATGATGCTGAGGAAATTGAAAGACAGTAGTTAACAATCTTGCTGCTTTAAGTTAAAGAACACTTACTTACCTTGCAATTCAGGGCCAACAGTAGTTATTATTGCACCCAAGCATCTACCCAAACACTGATGAACTTCTGTGTGTGAAGGTGGAACTGTCAACAACAAGGTCAGAACTAGAGATAACGTTGGTTCCACATAACCCCGATACATTGGGCCACTAGAATCCACTATCAATGCAAGTGAATGAAGAGACCAGGTCTGGAATAAAATGTAATTTTCTTTTAGTTCTAAGGAACAATACTGGATTGATTTTTATTAAAATATTTAACACTTAGTAAATACTAAGATCTTAGTTTGTAATCAATAATCTAGAGATACACTAAACATATTCCTTAAGAAATAAAAGGTAGCACACAAGTTATCAAGAGCCAATAACCAAAGCAACTGGTATGCAAATTTGATGACTTAAGTTTCTCTGTAGCATGGCTTTGAGTGTCATAAATAAAATTTCAACAATGAATTCATTTTCTCCTATCATAATATTCTTGTATTTCACACTTCCAAAAGACAGTGACCTAAATAACAAGCTTTTGAGCTAGTGGATGCTACAGACATCAAAGTATCCCCGCCTCCAATTTTTTTCTCAAAGCTATGTATTTAAATTTTTTTACAGAACAATCTTATCACCTTCAAAGTACACGTCATTACGCTTAATACATTTGTCAAATGTGCAATTCCATTCCTGGAAATATTTTTCAAACTCATCCGTTTGGATGGCTGACAGCACCTCCCTCATTTTTTTCATCTCAACTACATTGTCAAAAAGAAGCTGCACAAAATGAGGTTAGTCAGATGCATGGGGCAAGAGAGGCATGCTGTTTTTTTCCAAAACTGGCGCACGGTGATGGCTGTGTGAGCAGGTGCATTGGTGTGGTCTGCCACAAATCAGGCCTTTTTTGTTGCACACTGTTACACAATATTTTCAGAATCTCTAAATAGAAAGCTTGATTAACAGTCTGAGGTGGTGGAATGAACTCCAAATGCAGGATTAGACATTTTCATCTGTTCAGGAAGTTGACAGATATCCAGAATGAGGTTTGTTATCAATCGACATTTCACCTTTCTTGAAATGAGAATACTTGATTTCTCCCTATCATCATCAGCTCCCCATACACCCCACAACCTTCCCCGCCAGACCACCTCAAGAAACCATCAATGTGGTCACTGTCTCTATACCTCTATCCATCCTGGATTTCATATACAGAAAAACACAGACAGCAGAAACACTGTACTCTGCATGATAGCAAGGCTGTTCATATTCCTGGTCTGGGGTCAGAGGGAATTTACTGGAGGCTTAATCCATGTGTGGACCCTGTGAATGGATTTTGGGTTCCCGCTATCATCCATAGGCTTCTGATGTTCTAGGAATGGATGCACAGAGAAA